CCCCAAAACCCCAAAACCCCAAAACCCCAAAACCCCTTTAAGGAGAAAATCCTTTAAAACAATAATTATTAAAATGGAGCCCTTCAAGATTACAGATGGAGATATTTTTAATGTCTCAGCTGATGCAATGGTAAGAAATGAAGTTTAGAGAAGGAAATAACGAGATATTATCAATTTTAAAAGTTTAATGTTGGATTTTAAGTTCTAGGGTTTTTGGAAATACTGAATTTGATTAGTTTGAATACTGTTTTGATGATAGAGAGTAGGATGGATTTTAAGGAATTATAGTATTATGATTGATTTAGGTGACTACAATTGGAATTCAGTGAGAGCTTGATGGACATGTATGCAAGGAGTTAATTAAAAAGCTTGGGAAGTAAGTACCTTCTTAACAACATTAAGAGGATGGATCTTTTAAACTTTCCTCCCTCAAAATCATGAAACTTCAATATTTTCATCAATCCCTTATAAACTTCTGTTCCGATCTTTACAAAACTTTTAATCATCAAAAATGATTCACTCATTCCAACCCTCCTCTGACTCCATAACTCCCTTAAAATAGACTTAAAAACAGTTTTAAATCAAAACTCAAAGAGAATTCCTCAACAGAAGAGGAGAAGGAAGTAATCAAAAAGGAATCCTTAAACAATATCAAAGATGAAGTAAGCTCTCCTTCAACCTCTTCCAGACTATTATCCTCCAAAACTTGCCATGCCAGTGTAGAACTTGGCCTAACAGCTTGGTATAGATCCAGAAAAGAATCAAGGAGGACTACTCTCTCAGATATGTAAAACAAGAAGACATCACCGAGATCAGAACTATCGTTGATGGCAGCCCCATGCTGGTCAAGTAAGCATAGCTCATGACAGTCTCTAGTCTCAAAGATTTTGATAAATTAGGAGAATTCAATTTCAAATATGTCTTCTGTAAGTCCTGGAGTTACCTCTAGTCGTTGCTTTCAAAAGAGCCGAGCAAGGAGTCCCCAAAAGCATCCTTTCCTTAGCCTGTCAGGAAGTAAATTACTCTTCTATTATAACTCTAGATCATAAAGATTTGTCGGAAGGAAAAGATCAAATCTGTGACCCTCCCTACCATTGGCTGTGGAGTCCTCAGAACTCCAATTTCGAGATGCAGCTCAGCAATGTCTGAAGGCTTCGCTCTCAGTAGAGAGTTAGTCAAAGACATGACTGACATCAACATTGTCTGCTATGAAGACGTAAGTTCACACGAGGCGAAAAAGAGTTGTCTAAATTAAGAAATAGTATCTCATATTTACGGAGATTGAATATATGGAGTTATCTGTACTTGAAGTCTCCCCAAACTATAGCATAGATTGCTAAATCTTTTCTTCAAAACTGTTATCTGCATACTTCTTTACTAAATTGTAGAAGAAATAAGCAAATAATTGCAATTATTAGACTCCTGCTGAGCACATTCGTTTAAAATAGTCACAAATTATATTATAAACTAGTTCTAAACTACCCATACCTAGTATCTCTAAGATCATTCAAGCCATTGAAAATGCCTAATACTTCTTTTTGGACGAATTTCACTTTAATTTTACTCTAAAACCCTTCTAATCTTCTAAAAATAGATAAAAGAATTTGTGGATGAGTTCAAAAACCCGTTTAAAGAAGGATATAAAGGGTAAGCCTAACTTCCTATTCAAATGTATTTAATTTGGGAATAACCAAAACACAAAATAAGCGTGAAGCTCATTGCTAATCATGGTTATATCCCAAAGCTCATTTAAAATCAAAGCTAATACATAAATATAGTAAGAAAACATCTCCTGAAAGCCGTTGATTGCACATATATTTTCAAACATCAAGCATACCTTCCTAAATCTGCCTAAAACTGGGAAGAAATCGAAGACACTGATGAAGGATTTCTCAAAGAAAATCTAATTGGATAGTTTTTAGTTCAAACTATCTGAGCAAAACACTTTCTAAAGTTATGCCATCCTGGCTCAAAATTTTGGCTTAGCAGAACCTCCGCATTTAGTATTAAAGATAAGAATAGGAACTCTACTGAATTAAAACGTGGCATTATTCCAATTCCAAACCTTATATTCAAAAGAAAAGTGATCATCTTGTTGCCACAAATGAAATCAAGCATTTATCTGTAGAGTAATACTCATAGTAAATCAGAGATTATCCAAACTTCACCTGAAAGATCATCTGAAGCTAACTTGATTCCTACTATCCATGTGCTCACATTTTCAATTGTTTAATGATTTTTCTGTTAAAATACTTCCATTAAAAGCGCTATTTAAGTCAAATTTGCTCCCAGCACAAGCTTACTTAGTTCTGATAAATCTAGTCTATCCCAATTTCATGTATTTTTTACCTAAAATCACAAATCAAGCTAAAGTTTAGAACTCTCCTAAAGATCCTCTAAATTATTCTCTACCTCAAAAACAACAATTTGATATCTGCCACACCTGATCTTCGAAGCGACATTTCACTTTAACTCAAAATTTACTCCAAAGAATGTACTCAACCTCTGAACCCAAGATAATGCTCAAAAGCAGTTAGCCTACACTAGAAAGTATGATGTTTGTTTAGCCAATAGTATACATGCCAAATTGAGCCAAGCCCTGTTATCACCATCTCTCTAAGCCTATAAATAGCATTGCCCCTAATCTGTTACTTCTAGAATCCCTTGAAAAAGAAGGTAAACCGCCCATTTTACTGTAGAATTCAAAAAAAAGCAGAAATACGAAGAAGAAGTAAGTTTAGCACGCTAGCTTTCATAGAAAGAGGAGCTTGTAAAGAAAAGTAGAGAAAACCTAACCGAGCTTAAAATCAAAGAACAGGAAAGAGCCAAATAAATACCAGAAAGAGATCAAGAAATTAGTACGTAGTTGAATAACTCTTTAGCAAGAAGCAAAAGAGAAGAAAAAGTAGGTCAGCTCTCACCCAGTAGACTCAAAAAGAAGACTAAGAAGAACAAGTACCCACCTAGGTTCTGTATCAGTAAGTTCCACCTGCTTATACACAGAGAGAGGGATCTATAGCGGCACAGAAGAGACCAAAGAGGAGACCACTGATGATGGCTACACTGAAGTTGATGTAAATACGGAGTAATTACCTGAGCCAAAGCAGAAGATAATGTCCTTATAGCTTCACATTCTCAGATCTAGAATCAGAGACTACAGAATCAGAATCTGATTTATACTCAGATAATAGTTCAGACTACTCAGATGTAATCTTGCTCTATCTCTTGTGGGGAAAGAACATATTGTTAGCATTAATTCGCTCTAAAAAGAGTCATCGATTAGCATCGATGACAAGCTTAGTCTATTTGTTGAGATAATTTGCTTCACATAACCAGAATAGCCTCAATATAAAATTGTTATAGTATTCTTTAAAACGTCAATGTTTCTCACAGTATAGTTTTATTTGTAGTCCGGATAATAATTAATTCGGTAGAACTTGCCTGAGATAGCCTGATTTAGCTAGCAAAGTTTAAACAAAGAGAATCTAAAGGATATTTCAACTATAAAATCTGCATCTGTATTAAAAATCTAGGATAAATTCCCCTCTAAATACAATATAAAGATTACTCTTAATTAAAGAAGATTAATCTATCTTATCAGAGCTTAAAAATACTAATTTCATTAGGATCAATCAGACAAAAGCAGTGATTGTGATAGCATGACAAATGGCTCCGATAGCGGATCAGATGAAAATAACTCCGATGAAGATGACGACATTTTATTAGACAAGAAAGGTATCCCTATAAATTCTCAGATCCTAATCTCACATATAGACTTGAGACCGAATGCCATGAACAAATTCGCGAAAAATAAACCCAGAGATTACATTCTGAAATACTAAATTTGGTTTAGTTCAACCAGCCACAAATTAGCTGGGGTTTTGGGGTTTTGGGGTTTTGGGGTTTTGGGGTTTTGGGG